GGATCAAGCCCACAACCCCGGCATGTGTTCTGACCGGGAATTGAACCGTGAACTCCTGGTTCATAGGTCAATGCCCAAGTCCTGAGCCATGCTGGCCAGGCAGTACTTTTAATTTTTTAAACTCCTCCCAACATTTTATTATAAAAAATTTAAAAGTGCAAAGTTAAAAGGTTTTTACCATGAACTCACATATATCCACCATTTATATCATTTTGCTCCACTTGCTTTACCGCATAACCATCCATCCCTTGTCCCTTTTTCTCTCCACCCGTCTATCTGCAAAGTACATTGGAGGTCTCAGCATACTTCCCCCTAAACATTACAGCATGCACACCACTAGCAAGAGTTCAGTGTGTTTACAGGTTTTTCTTTTGATATAGAATTTCCCTGCAATTCTAATGATTATTACCTGCTGAGTACTGGCCAATGCTTATGCCTCTGTAACCCTAACACCCCCCTTCTGAGGTGCTACAACATTACCTTCCCCCCAAAAGGCCCCCATGCCTCATCCCACTCAGTCCTTTCCCTGTCCCCTGGCAACCAGTTTTCCTTTATACAGATTAGTTTGACTGTTTAGAACTTCATATAAATGGAATTATATAGTATATTATTTTGGTAAAAGATTATTTTACTCAGCACTGTTTTTGTGACTCATTCATTGTTGTGTGAATTAGTTTATTTCTTTTCATTGCTGGCTAGTATTCCAGTGTATGATGAGGCCACTGCTTGTCTTGACCCATTCTCTTATTGATGGATAACTGTTTCCAGCGTGGGGCTGTTACCAATAAAGCTGCTGTGAACACGCACAAGTCTTTTGGGACGTATGTTTTCATTTCTCCTGGGATTGGAATTACTGGGTCATAGTGTAGGTATATGTTTAGTTTTATAAGGAACTGCCAGACTTTTCCTAAAGTGGTGGTACAGTTTTAGGCTCCCACCAGCAGTGTACGGGAATTCCCGTTTTTTGTCTCTTCGCCATTATTTGCATATTCTGGTGGGTTTGTGGTCGTACCGCATTCCTTTCATTTTGGGCACAGTGCATGAACACGGGTGGGTGGCAGAGACCCAGGAAGCAAGGAGTTCTGTTTGGAATGTGAACGTTCATGTTGTGTAGCTCAGCATGGATGCACGGTCTCCGGAGCCTCATCTCTCACGTCTTCCCTTTCTTTTAACATCTTATTACTGCTTTTGGTTTTCTGTGACTGATTGAAAGTTGCTCAGAGGAAATCTTTGGTTTTGCTTTAGTGTCCATGATGTTTAATCATGACTTTCCCTGTAGTTTAATTCCACCAATCAGTTGGTCCACTTGGATTGATTCTGGGCTCTCGGTTATTGGCTTGCCCTCACTGGGCACCTGCGGGTGTCAGTGCGGCTGGGTGGCTTGAGTGATGCTTCTTTCACACCTCTTGCCCTCGAAGGGCTTTTCTCCAGTGTGAGTCCGGATGGGGTTGTTAAGGGTGGTGGCCCCAGCAAAGGCATGACCACAGTAGCCGCACTTGGAAGGCCAGTCACTGGAGTGCATGACCGTGTGCTCCCTCAGCTTTGAAGGCTGGGAAAAGGACTGGGAGCAGTGGCCGCATGGGTAAGGTCTGTTGGGGTTCTGTGTGCACACGTGCATCTGTAGCAGTATCCTCTGCTGAAAGTCTTAAAGCACTTCCCACGTTTCCAAAGATGCCGGTCACTAAACTCCGAGTGCATCTGGCTCGTGGACGTCCGGCTCACAAGGATTCGCTGGTTCTTCACGTTGATTTGGTTAAATCCTGACTCATGGGCCCAGGTATGTCCAGGAGAGAGAAGTTCCTGCTGCACGGAGCCTGTGGGAAAATGACAGAGCACTGCTGGGTGGCTGGGGAGAGTTTGCTGCTCTTGCTGAAGGGCTACAGGGTATCTCATCTGCACATGGCTTCCGTTACCTTTGAGGGGACATTCCCTGGGCTCCAGGAGAGGAAGGGCAGAGTGGCCTGGAGCTGTGTGAGGAGAATCTGGGGTTGTAGGCTCTGGAGATAGAGCTCAGAGGGCACCCCTCTGATCCCTGTGCCGAGTCATTCCCCCATATGGCAGAGGGCATCTTCCTTAGGCAGACACTTACCTTCCAGGAAGCTTTTCGTCCCACTCCCGTTAGGTGGTACATTGTTCTTTCTGTATTCCTCAGATTCCTTCTTTTGTTCATAATTACTTTAAGGCTGTTCAGTAGTTTAATTGCCTGCAATGCCTAATACTCTATTGTATCTGCTGAGTCTGGTTCATGACGAACTCTTTGTGTTTTATAATTTTGGAAAGGGAGCTCATGTTAACTTAGTTCTTTACTTCTGGGGATGTTGTCCAGCCTGGCTGGATTGTGCTGTCTCCTTGAGCCCTTATAATCCAGGGATGCTGTCAGTCTGCGACCACTTTCTATGTAAAAGCACTTAGTTGGGGGACCCTGGCTGTGTATTTGAGGACAGGCCCAAGTTTGTGAATTCACACACATTTTTTTATACCCCAGGCCCAGTCCAAGACCAGTTCCTTTGCTAGTGGACTGCTTTTTCCTAGGCCATCCTCTCATAGAAGGGTAGGGGAGCACACTGAGAAGTGCTGCATTCCGGGGGGACCTTTCTCTCAACCCTCTCCTTGTATTCCCTGACCTCAGCTCTCATCTCTGTCTGGGCTTTAATCCCTGACCTCTGGATGGCAAGGTTAGTAGTGCCCCAGAGGGCCACTGTCTTAGTCCACTGCTATAACAGATTACAGACTGAGTCTTTTATTTCTCACAGCTCTGGAGGATGGAAGCCCACCGACAAGGTGCTGGCACCCATGTGTGGCGAGGGCTCCCTTCCTGGGCCGTCCTCTCATCGTATCCACACATGGTAGATAGAGAAAACTCTCTGCTGTCTTTTAAAAGGACACTGATCTCCATCTTCATGACCTAATTACCTCGCAAAGTCCCCACCTTCTAATACTGCCACATCGGAGATAGGACTTCAGCATAGGAATCTGGGGGTGGATACACACATTCAGTCCACAGCAGCTCCTGTGGGGGCCACGGCCCTGTTTGTTTTCAGTCCTAGGTTTTCCTTTCTCTGACCTTTGCTGTGCATTGGGATGGGTGTTTGTGTGATCTGACCCAGCGTATTATGAGTCTTTTGTAGCGGGCAGGTTTTCAACATTTTCTAGTCCTCTGTGTTGCCTGAAATGAAAGTCTAAGGAGTAAAACTTGTGGTCTTCTGTGATTCTTAGTAATATGGAAAAAGTTCGTCATAGACACTAAGTCTATCCTCAAAAAATAAATGTACATCAATATTTTGCGCTGAGATGTTTTCTCGTTTTCTTTACAGGGCACAGCTCCAAGGTGAAGAGAAGCTGGTATATTTCTGAGCATCTTGACCACTGAAAGGAAACCAGACATGTCTTTGGAGGACATTCAAATGAAGCCAGGCGACCTCCTAGAGAGGGAGCACCTGGACAGCGGAGGCTTTGGGAGGGTGTCCCTGTGCTTACACAGGACCCATGGGCTCGTCATATTGAAGAAAGTATACACAGGGCCGAAGTGCACAGAGTGAGTGGCGCAGGCGGGGGCCCGCTGTGGGCTGGCCCCGGGTGGCAGGGACTGTGGAGGGCAGGAGCGGCTGGCGGACACAGCTGGCACAGGCATTAGAATGAGACAGACCATGGGGCAAGTGTCAGTACATGGGCTTTGTGTCCAACAGCCCTGCAGGGTGGTTACTATCCCCATATAGCCGATAAGGATTCTGAGGCTGATTGACAAAAAGCATACAACTGGTAAAGCAGGGGTGGGGACCGGCCAGCCCGTGGGCCGTATGGCCCGAGAAATCATGTGGTCTGGCCCTGCCAAGGCCTCACCAAAGAGAAGCAGTTCCACCCACCCCATTAGGGACGAGTTAAGTAAGTCTTTGACCGAATAAAACAGGCTAATTTTTAAGTTGATAATTTTGTGTGGCCTGCGAATGATGTTATAAATATCCAGATGTCCGTAGGTAGAAAAAAGGTTCCCCACCCCTGTGGTAAATAATGGCCGAGAAGTGAAGGGAGGGAAGTAGAGGAAGGGAAGGAGACCCAGGGTGCCGAGGAGGCGCTGGAAAGGAAGTGGGAGGCGCTGGAAAGGAAGACAGACTCGCCCCACACTTCCGGTGAGGACCAGCCTGAGTATGGCAAAGAAAAGAAAATGTTCATTAGTCAGTGGTTCCAGGATCCCTTCCTTCAAAGCAGGTGGTAGTGCTGTTCTCTTCCTCCTTCCTCCTCCTGCCAGCATGGTCGTGAGGGAGGCTGCATTTTCATTCCACTGCAGCACAGCCCTTTCCTCAGGCAGCAGCCCTTGCTGCTTTTCATTTACTGATCATTCGCTCGCTCAGCTGACATGTCTTGAGCACTCACTGTCAGCCACTGGGAAGGAGGAACCAGCCACCTCTAAAGCTTGTAGTCAGTGCCTGGCTGAGGCCCGTACCCCACAGGTAGCGATAGAGGCAGGTGTACAGGGATGCCTGGGGCATGTGGGCTGCGTTTGGGGGGCCAGCAGGGGAAGAGGGCTCAGTGCCCATCCTCACGGCCCCTTTCTCTCCCGCAGGTACAACGAGTCCCTCCTGGAGGAAGGCAAGATGATGCACAGGCTGAGACATGAGCGGGTGGTGAAGCTGCTGGGCATCATCCTGGAGGAGGGCAACTACTCACTAGTGATGGAGTACATGGAGAAGGGCAGCCTCATGCACGTGCTGAAGGCCGAGGTGCGGGCTCCACGCGCCACATGCGGCGCACTCACTCGTCCGAGAGGGTTATTGCTCGCCGTCTTCTGTAGCTTGTTGGTAAAATAGTCATTTTGTGACTGGCTGGATATTTTGGATTTCTGGTCAGTCCCTCGCTAAATCCTCTTGGACTCTCCGCCCCGCGGTGGCCAGGCCCTACTCTCCTCCCCGCATGCGGTGGCCGGGCTGTCGTCAGCCTCTCTGAGGTCCACAGTTCAGAGACAGACCCGGTCTGCACGAAGCGCACGGTCTGATGTGGGGTAGATGCACCGTGGTTAACAATTAAATATTGATCTGTCGATGGGTTGATTAAAGAATGTATCTGTAAAGGCCTGTATGAGAAGGATCATTAATGATTCCACATGGATACCATTGAAGAGACAGCTTAAATGTACGTTAGAGGCAACAACACTGGATGAGTAGGACTTAAAACAGGGAAATGACAAGTTTACCAAAACCAAATAACTCGAAAGCACTTTTAAATGTTTATGTACCTGTTAAGATCAAGACCTCGTGCTAGTTGCTCAGGAAGAGGTGGCAAAGATGGTGCAGACAAGTGAAGGGGACAGGAGGGAAGGGAATGAGTGTGTGTGATGCTTGGCAGACCCCTCGTCATGTGCCGCGGGAACACGGAAGAGAGGCCCATGCCCTGGCATGGGTAGGTGGGAAAGGACCACAGAGGGGTATGCTTGAGCCACAGTATGAAGTCAAGTAGAGGTTCTGAAGCAGAGGATTAAGGAATAAGTGTTCCAGGTGGCGAAAAGGGCGTGTGCCAAGGAACAAGAGTACGCCAGGTTTGGGAAACTGCAAATACCTGGGTATGGCAAAGTGTAGACTGCCTCTGGGAGTGGTGGGGTACAACTGTCCTATGGCACATACTCCCCTTTTCCCGTCTTCTCCCCTGACCTCACAACTGCTGAAGCCCCAGACACCTCTCACAAATACCTGTGAGAAAGATACAGATGACTACCATACACGCTGTATCATCATTTATCAGCTTGTTCTCCCCAGAACTCGACAAGATCAGGTGCATGAAGGAAGTAGGCTTTCTGGGGACCAGGCAAAGATAAGGTGCCTTAATTAGGAGAAAGGAGGGAGAACAGCAGAAAGATGCGAAGGGGATCTGTGCTTGCCCAGAATTTTTTCCTAAATGCAGAGGCATGCCGTGGAAGCAGGGAGGATCTCTGGCCATTTTTGTATAGTAGTGGTCAGTTTATAAATACTTCAGTCCAGCTACATTATGGGTTAGACATGGTTTGGGGGGTTGACTTGGGGATCTTACTTCCATCGTTTACATTTTTTCCCCGTTTACCAACAACCAATGCACATAAATTTGTTGGAAGCAGTCTATATGTAAACGAGGGACTATGCGTGTGCACACACGCAGAGTGAGAGTTTGTGTTTTCAATGTTAAACAAATCTAATGTTTAACGACTATAAATAGAAACTGGAATTCTCTATATTAACACAGATGTTCGTATAACTAGATTACAGTTGTAAGAGTGACCTGAGAGTCTACAGAGACCTGAAGTACCTGATAACATATCACAAAATGGACGTTAAATTCCTTTCAGTGTTAACAACACTGTTATCTCATAGAGTAATCTTTACATGCTTCTAATTAGTGTGAGCACATTCCCTTGTATTCTTTTTTTTCTTGACATTATTTCACAAACACATTTTCATGACCATGCTAGGTAGTAAGCGCACATCCTAAATAGTAATAATGATGTTTGTTCTCAAGGAGCCTAATTGTATAGCATTTTTATATATCACTGTATTGTCATGGAAGTTTTAGTTTTACACTGGAAAACACACCATTAATACTCTCAGCACCTAGGATGAACTCTTGCTTCAAAGGGGGACTTGTTCTGCAATGTGGGCTGTGCTGCTAAGTGGAGAGAAGGCAGGTACTGTGTCCTTAGTGCAGCCTCACTACTCTTGACTGAAACAGTTGCTTTGCCCTGTTTGGCTACCTTTCCATTTCATACACTTAATGTTACTTGTTTCAGATCAGCATCCCCCTCTCTGTAAAAGGAAGGATAATTATGGAGACCATTGAAGGAATGTGCTATCTGCATGGAGAAAGTATAATACACAAGGACCTGAAGCCTGAAAATATCCTGGTTGATAACGACTTTCACATTAAGGTAACTGCAGTCTAGAGGCTTGCAGAGCTTGGGGTGATTTTAGGGCTAACTCTTCACGGTAGATCCATGGTGACTCTGCAGGAGCACCTGGCTCAGTTTCTGCCTGGTGGCAGTGGTGCCAAGGATTGAAAAGGAAGACACAGACTTGATGGAGGTTATATTTTTCATGGATTCATGTACTTTCATCTGCATTTTGTGTGTTTCCTTTTGAAAACTCCCAACGCTTACCATTGTAGGAAAGGAAACATGAAAGGAATTGCTGTTCACTTTATACTTAACTAGGTGAAGTCCTCATAGCTAATTGGCTCTGGCAGCAGGAATGCAGGTGCAAAAACCTGAACGGGGAAGTGGCCCAGGGGCAGGGATGCTGCAACTGCGTTCACAGGGGTCCCCCTCTGCTGGGAGGCCCTGCTTCTGACGCTGTCCTCATCTCGGGCAGGTTGTACTCCTGTCTTCGGAGGAAGGCTCCTGCCCAGCCGGCGTGGCTCAGTGGCTGAGCATCGACCTAGGATCTGGGAGATAGTGGTTTGATTCCCACTCAGAGCACATGCCTGGGTTGTGGGCTCGATCTGCAGCAGGGGGCGAGCAGGAGGCAGCTGATCCATGACACTCTCTCTCTCTGTTGATGTCTCTGTCTGTCTCTCTCCCTCTCCCTTCTCTCTGAAATCAAGAAAAAAGTTTTTTTTAAAAAGTTTAAAAAAAAAAGGAAGTTTCCTTCTTTACATTAATAATATATCTCTTATGTTTCTGGGTTAGAACCTGTGGATCTTACATAACCACATGCTTGGATTCCTAGAGGCAGAAGTGAGACGGTCGCCTTTGATTTTGTCTTCACTGGATTGTCCTGTCATGTTGCCTGGCTGCTTCCCTGTCTCGTGTCTGACCTTGCTGTTTTTCTCTCTGCTTTTTGTCTGTCTGTCTCCTCCTTCCCTCCCATCTTCTCTTAGGCTCAGGCTACCAACTCAAAACCAGTAGCTCTGCAGCCCTATCCTCAGTGTGCCCTTGGGACCCTTGGCAACTGACACCCCCGGCTTTCGGACACCGTTTGGGAAAACTGAAGGTGAAGTACCTAGTCACTGTCTGCTCTACAAGTCTGCTGAGAAGAAAATACCCTTTTTTCTCCAGAAAGTGTTGAAAAGCATATGCAGAGTCCGTGAGGAATTAGAAGAGCTTGTTCTGTTCATGTCAGAAATGTCTTGTTCTGCCTCCTTTCTTCCCACCCACCAATCCCTCCAGCAAATTTCCTGGCTTTTTAATTACATAAGAATCGAGGTCCCAGGATTTCACATGTGCATTTCTTAGGGGAGGTTTTTCTAGATGGCTGAGGAAGTACAGAATTTCAGCCCTGTCCACTCTTTCTAGGAGATTCACTGTACCTCCCATCTGTTGGGTGAGCCCCAAAGTTAAGGACAAGTCTGACTTGCTGTGGTCCTCCCAGAGCAACCCCGTTGGCCTCTTGCAGATAGCTGACCTCGGAGTTGCTTCCTTTAAGACGTGGAGTAAGCTGACGAAGGACCAGCACAACGAGCAGCGGAGAGCGGACAGTCTCTCTAAGAAGAACGGCGGCACCCTCCACTACATGGCGCCCGAGCACCTGGACAATGTCAACGCCCGGCCCTCAGACAAGTCGGATGTGTACAGCTTCGCCATAGTACTGTGGGCCATATTTGCACACAAGGAGCCTTACGAAAGTAAGACACTTATACAGGAGCGGTATTAGTTTGGGTATTAATCAAAATTCTTGAACAAAATACGGCCTTCAGTGAAGTCAATTAAAATTTATACTTGTTTGTTCATTTAGTGTCTGTCTGACCCACTAGATGGTAAGTTCCATGGGCTGGGGCCACGTCTGGTTTATTCACTGTTTCTCACATGGTGCTAGGAGCACAGTAGGTGCTCAGTACATTTTTGTTGTCTGGATGAGTAATCACAGTTTAGGAATCCAGGGCCACGGGACAGATAGGAGCCTTGATAGTGCATCAGAGCTCGGGAGGGGCTGTGAAATTCCAGGATTCCTCCTGGACAAGAAAGCTTGCTGGCTCTGCGTATGAGTGTCTACCCTCGTCCTACGAGGCATACGCGTCAGACTCATCCATCCACCTGCTCCTTCACTCAAGAGTTACTTCAGTTCTGAACTTACGTGGGCACTTTAACCAGAACTGAGAATGTAAAGATGAGACAGACATGGCTGGTGCAGGAGAACTGATGCGTAGGCCGCTGCTCTTCAGTTGGTTAAGTGCATGAACTAATGGACACTTCCCTACCCCCTTTGGGTGATTACTTTCTCCCACGGTTTAATGCTCCCCTCTGCCCACGCCTCTCCAGTCTTTCCTCTCTAGCCCTGCCCTAGATATGCACTTGTCTGTTAGATCTATTCCATGTGCTGGAGGAACCCCAAAGCAACATCTCCCCAGACTAATCCATCTTCTACCTGCTCTGCTTGGGGCCCTCTCAGCTTTGCACTTTTGTTATGTTCAGCGATGCATCACCATCTATCTGCTGAGTTGCCCAACCAGAAACCGTGGTCATCACAGACTCAGCCTGCTGCTTATCTCCCACATCCAATCAGACGTCAGAACCTCCGAGTCAAGGTGTATAGATGATTCAAGATACACCTTCAATCCACCCACTTCTATCACCACTAGACTATTCAGTCAAACCCTTTGTATTTCTGCATAGGCTCCTCATAGGCATCCATCAATCACACTGCAGCCCAGCTGGTCATCCCCAAAGGAAATAGGATCACCTCACTCATCTGTTTAAAATCCTTCCAAGGCTCTGTGGCCTTAAAGCTCACATCCTTCAGTATGAAATACTAGGCCCTTTCTGACTTGGCTCTTGCTTCTTTCTCTGGCCTTTTCCTTCTCTTTCCTTAGTGAGTACTCTCCGTTATCCTGAACTACTACTAATTTCTGGGATGCATCAGGATTTGTGGGACCTCCGTCTACCTATGTCCGACTTCCCCAGCCGAAACCATTCTCTGTGTCCTTCCCCACTCCTCACCTGGATGACCCTTTGTTTTTCTGTACTTGACAAAATCTTCTTGACTTTCTGGTGGAGCTTGTGTTCTCAGAGCCTTGTACTTCTTGAGTAGCAATTATCACTACATTTTAAGTCACTCATTAATATTTCACGTGTTCTGCCAGGAGGCAGCTTTCCTGTGAATTCTGTCTTTCATCTACAGAAATTAAAGTGTTTCGTGGCTCCTTGCCACAGGTCCATTCTGCCCCTACCGGATGAGGCAGCCTCGCTTAAAGTACATCCCAGGCAGAGAGGGATCCGCAGCATTGTCCAAGTTCTGTCACCTCCCTGCCTGAGAGGGGCCAGACCTGAAAGAAAGTCCAAACCGGAGCTCCTCTTTGCTTTACAGATGCTATCTGTGAGCAGCAGCTGATAATCTGCATTAAAGCCGGGAACAGGCCAAATGTGAATGACATCATTGAATACTGCCCAAAGGAGATAATCAGCCTCATGAAGCAGTGTTGGGACCCGGACCCGCAAGTGCGGCCAACGTTTGCTGGTAAGGGCATCTTTTATGGCTGTGTACAGTCACCAATGTGGTGGTTTTCCTAGTAAGATGTCAGGAAGTTGCTTTGAGGCTTCAGAAAACCGAGTCCACTTGTGATTTCAACTGATTTTCTAGATTTCAAACTTTTTTTGTTGTAAATCCTCACCTGAGGATATTTTTTCTATTGATTTTTTTTTAGAGAAAGTGGAAGGGAGGGATGGAAGGGGGAGAGAGAGAAACATCGATATGAGAGACACATCGATTGGTTGCCTCCTGCACGTGCCCTGACCAGAGCCGGGCATTGAGCCTGCCACCCAGGTACATGCCCTTGATTGGAATCAAACCTGTGACCTTTTGGTCCGCAGGCTGATGCTCTAACCACTGAGCCATGCCATCCAGGGCTCAAACATTTTTTTTTTTCAATGAAAAGATGCCACCCCTCCCAAAAGCATGTTTGTTTTTTTCATAATTTTTACAAATTGTGTTGAAATATACGTAACGCATTAGATAACATTTTTGATCATTTTTAAGTGCACAGTTTATTCTGTTAAGTACACTCACGTGTTGTACAGCTGTCACCGGTGTCCATCTCCAGAACCCTTCTGCCTCCTCCACTGAAACTCTGCCCATTAAACAGTCACCTCCAGTGTTGTTCTCCCCCAGTCCTTGGCAACCACCATTCTACTTTCTGTCTCTATGAATTTGACTACTCTGGGTGCCTCATTATAAGAAGAATCCTGCAATATTTCTCCTTTTATGATTGGCCCAGTTCACTGAGCATAAATGTCTTCAGGGTTCATCGGTGTTGCAGCAGGTGTCAGAATTTTCTTTTTATTGCTGAGTGTTATTCCACTGTATGTGTATGCCACCTTTTGTTTATCTATTCATCTGTCAATGGACACAACTTGGGTTGCTTGCACAGGCCTCCTTGTTTCTTAGCTTCTTTTATTTCTTTTCCCTTCTTCAATAAATGCTGTTGGGAAAATTGGACAGATACATGCAAAAAAACGAAGCTAGACCGCCAACTTACACCATACACAAGAATAAACTCAAAATGGATAAAAGACTTAAATGTAAGTTGTGAAACCATAAAAATCCTAGAAGAAAACATAGGCAGTAAAATCTCAGACATCATACATAGCAGAACTTTTGCTGATACATCTTGGGCAAGCGAAACAAAAGAAAAAGTAAATAAGTGGGACTACATCAAACTAAAAAGCTTCTGCACAGCAAAAGAAACCATCAACAAAAAAAAAAGGGAGCCCACTGTATGGGAGAACATACTTGCCAGTGACACATCTAATAAAAGGTTAATATCCAAAATATATAAGGAACTCATACAATTTAACAAAAGGAAGACAAACAATCCAATTAAAAAATGGGCAAAGGACCTAAATAGACACTTCTCCAAAGAGGACACACAGATGGCCAGGAGACATGAAAAAATCCTCAGTGTCACTAATCATCAAGTTAATTCTACAATGAGGTATCACCTCACACCTGTCAGAATGGCTCCATCAACAAATCAACAAATGACATGTGCTGTCGAGGGTGTGGAGAAAGGGGAACCCTAGTACCCTGCTGATGGGAATGCAGACTGGTGCAGCCACTATGGAAAGCAGTATGGAGTTTCCTCAATAAATTAAAAATGGAACTGCCATTTGTCCCAGTGATCCCACATCTAGGAATATATCCTAAGAATCCTGAAACACTAACCAGAAAGAATATATGCACCCCTATGTTTATAGCAGCGCAATTCACAATAGCTGATATCTGGAAACAGCCCAGGTGCCCATCAGTAGATGAGTGGATAAAAAAGCTGTGGGACATTCACACCATGGAATACTATGCAGCTGTAAAAAAGAAGGATCTCTTATCCTTTGGGACAGCATGGAGGGACCTGGAGAGTATTGTGCTAAGCGAAATAAGCCAGGCAGAGAAAGACAAGTACCACATGATCTCACTTATTTGTGGAATCTCATAAACAAGATAAACTGACAGACAATATAGGCCTAGAGGATGCATGGAACAGACTGATGAATCTTGGTGGGGGAGGGGATGACAGGAAGAGATTACCCATAGAACTTACATGCATATATGCATAGCCCATGGACACAGTAGTGCAGTGAAGGTCTGGGGGTGAGGGGCAGGAGCTGGACGGACTGGGGCAAATGAGGGGAAAAAGGGGAACATCTGCAATATCCTCAACAATAAATATAAATTTTAGAAATCTTTGACAGATAATTCTAAGACCTCTGTCATCTTAGTGTTGTCATCTGTTGATTGTCTTTTTAAATTCAGTTTGAGGTCTTCCTGGTGTGATGAGTGATTTTTCTATTGAAACTTTTGTTGGGCTTTTTCTTAATGTGTTAGGAGCTTCTGGATCCCTTTCAGCTGCAGTTATAGCTGCCTTTATCTGACGTGGTGTGGGCAGTGGTATGGTTTTGCCACCTTGTTAGTTTGCCACCAGGTTGAGGGGAGTCCAAGATCCCCACTTAGCCCTGTTGACGTATGAGGTAGAGGGGCTTCTTGTTATTACAGGTCAGGGCTGGGAGTTTCTGCAGCATCCACATGGTCTCCATGGATACTGCATTGGAGATGACCATCCTGGCTCCCCATTGTGCCTTTTCTGACACTTCCCCATTGGGACAGAGAAGGGATGTTTGATTACTGCAATGTAAGGTTGCATGTCCAGTCTGCCTTGTAGTCTACTGACACCACAGGAGTGGAGGAGCTCGTCACCATCTGGCAGAAAGGAAAGTCCCGCCTTCCTCTGTGGACTCTGATGTCACCCTCGTTCAGTGTTGGTAACCCTGTTACTGTCTCGTGAGGTTGGAAGTCTCAGCTCACACTCAGCCTTTGCTGGTAGGGGTGGGGATGGAGCAACCGTTTTTTCTGTCTTTTGGTTGCAGTGTGGTTAGTGGCAAAAGGTTTTCTGTCCTGCTAGGATGCCCCTTGCTTCATCTCCTGGCTAGAAAGAGCAGGATTTTGTTGGGCTTTTGTTGTTGTTGGGTTGCCAGCTTTCTTCAGGTCTAAGTCTGGAATCTCTGAGGCAAAAAGAACACCGAGTGAACTCAATGTCATGTATTTTCTCAGATCCCCAAGTCCCTCGCTGATCTGCCTTTGTCTCTCCTCTGCTCAGAGCCTCCTTATATTTACTTTATATATAATGTTAGGGGTTCTCGTTGTGCTTAGCAGGGGAAATAAGGAGAAGTATGTTCCTACATTTTCCAGAGACTGGCAGTTGCCTTTTTCTTTCAAGGTCAGTAGCTCTAACTCTTTATACCAAGCCCTTATCCCGAGTATTCCATCCTGTGTAATCTGGGTGCCAGAGGGGCAGGAACAGAGCTCAGCCAACTGGTTCACTTAGAGGTTAAGGCACATTTGATAGGTCTTTGCTGTATGGCCAGAGAAACTGCATGCTCTCCTGGGCTCCAGCGCTGCACTGTCCCTGTTCTGTCTACCTAGTGATTAATCTTGTCAGTCTCTTCCTGAAAGTCAGTCAATTGATATTTAAATTTTTATTTTACTGCTTTCCCACAGATTAAGTAATTCAAAGATAATAGATTATTAATATTTTAACTTTATTTTAGAAAATAATTAAGATATTTAAAGTACTGTTTTTCTTATATAGGCATTGAAGAAAAATTTAGGCCCTTTTATTTACATAACCTAGAAGAATGTGTAGAAGAAGACGTGAAGAGTTTAAAGGTAGGTAATACAGCAGGTGCTAAAAAGTTAACATATCAAAGCATGCATATTTTCAGGCATGGAAACCAAAGCAGTATAATTTGTTACTGAGATTTGAGGTAAGCTAGCTTGGTAACCACATAAAACAAAATTAGCAATTTTATGCAGATACCAAGTTGACATTCTTGACCCATTCCTCCTTTAAAACTAATGAAATGTGAGGAAATATACACAGCAATATGAAAGCAAAAGCACAACTTCTCTGGACTAAGCTAGGAAGTATCCTAGGTGGATCAGTCATTTTGAGGAAGTCTTGAAAGATAGAACGCCAACAGAATTATATTTGCTGAGACACGTAACAGAAAAGGAACTAACCCAGAACATAAATACTGAAGTAGTACCTGAGGAGCAAGTCTTGAGTCACTATAGAAAAGAAACGGGCTGGTCACCTGGGACAATGACAGGGAGAGTTATCTGGGATCCACAGTTATATCAGTCATAAGAGTGGGCTCCTCCCCCTAATTCCCTGTGCTGAGCAATAAATGGGAGCAGCAGCTGCTTTGGGCTGGAGCAGTAAGTTTGAAGTCTGGAGTCAGGTGTGTCAAAGATGGTTACCAGCAAACCGGCAAAGAGGAGCAGAGACCTGGCCTGCGTGCAGAAATGAGCTGCTGTCATCAGCCTTTCAGCAGCATACTGCTGGAATCATGAAAGGAGACGACAGTGAATAGAATAGGTAGGCAAACAATTTTAAAATACAAAAGAAAAACACTTGGGCAGTCAAGAATTGCCAGACTTCTATACTTTATTATTTTTTAATCCTCACCTGAGAATATGTTTTCCACTGCTTTTCAGGGAGAGTGGAAGAGAGATAGAGAAACACCAGTGTGAGAGAGAGACATTGACTGGTTGCCTCCTACACGCACCCCGACCAGGCCTGGGGATTGAGCCTGCCACCGAGGTACGTTCCCTTGGCTGGAATCAAACCCAGGACCCTTCAGTCGGCCAGCGACACACTAATCACTGAGCCAACTGGCCAGGGCCAGACTTTTACACTTTTTAAAAGAGAGATAGATATCTGATGCAAACCAAGAATGTAGTGAAAAGGACATTGTGAAAGATAGTCACTAAAGCAGAAAAGCCCTGGCACAGTAATCAGTGCTGTTTCATAGGATGAGGGCCAGTTCACCAGGATGATGGTAATAGCTTTAAGTATAGATGTGCCCTTAACAGCATGGCCTTGAAATACAGGAAGCGGAAATTGGCAGAACTCGGAGAAACAGACAAACCCACAATCCTAGTTGGGGATTTTAATACAAATCTCCCTCTAATTGTTAGAATAACTCCAAAAAAGTGTCAGTAAGGATATAGAAAATTTGAAAAACATAATTAACACATTTAATCTAATGGAAATATATAAAATAGTGCATCTAATAACTGCAGAATACTTACCTTTAAAGGCTTCACAAGAACATACAGAACATTTTTACAAATTGACCTTGTACTGGGAAATAAAACAAGTCTCAACTAGTTTGAAAGATTGTGATCATATAAAGAGTGATTGCATTCTCTGACTGCATTTCAGTTACACTAGAAATTAATCGAATTTAGAAAATATTTGGAGCTAATGAAACACTACATATTAAAACTACAGAATTTGCCAAGGAGCACTTACTGGTATGAAAAGTGGAAAGGGGTTAGCCAAGCACTCACCCGGAGAAGACAGCAGAATGCACCTGGAGCAGAGAGAAAGTGGTAAACAGTAAGAGAAGAGCACAAGTTAGTGACAGGAAACAGTTCATAGAGGATCAGAAAATTTAAATGTTGGTTCTTTGAAAAGGCTAATAAAATCAGTTAAGACTGGTGAAGAAAAACAGAAAGAAGACTGAAATAGTGAATACAGAGGTATCACTATAAAAATGGTATTGAGGATATTGTTAACACCTTTTTGCTAATTTTCGAACTTAAAATAGACACATTTCTGGGGGGAAAAAGTATAACTTAGCAAAACTGAATGAAATAGAGTTAGAAAACCTGACTATCCCATAGCCATTTAAAATCCTGAGTCAGTGATGAAAACTCTCCCCGCAAAGGAAATTCCACCCCAGGGTTTCATCAGTGATGTCAGCCAAATAGTCAGTGACTGTGTTACTTCAGGCCTATAAATTTGTCTGGACCATAGAGGAGGAGCTCTCCCAGACTCGTTTTATGAGACTAGCATACCCTCAATTCCCAAACTTGAAAAAGAAGAGACAAGAAGGGAAAATTATGGGCCAATATCACTTAATGTAGATGTGAAAATCCTGACTAAAGTTTGACAAAATGGAATCCGTCAGTGGACTAGAGTAAAGATACTGGCCTCACTAATGGAGAAAAGCAAAATGAATTGATTATAATTTTTTATCCATTAGATTAACATTTTTGAAAGATAGGTAGTATTAAGTGTTGGTGAAAATGCAGAATAACAGGCAATCCCCATGCATTATTGGTTAAGAGTGTGAATTGGTGAAGTTTATTGACAAATGAAGCATCTATCAAACTTTTAAAAGCACATAACGTTTGCAGCAATTCTACTTTTAATAATATATGATAGTCACATGTATGCTCCAGGAGTTCCGTGCCCCTTAGCTTTTGAGAGTAAAATATTAGAAATAACCCAAATAATTCATAAGTAGATATACTAAATTATGATTCGTTGAAACTACAGAATATATAACCATTTAAAAGAGCTAGAGCCCTAGCCAGTTTGCCTCAGTGGTTAGAGTGTCGGCGTTCAGACTGAAGGTTCCCGGGTTCGATTCTAGCCAAGGGCACGCACTTCTGTTGCAGGCTCTATCCCCAGCCCTGGTCAGGACTGTGAGGGGCGGGGGGGCCAATCAATGTGTCTCTCTCACGTCGATCTCTCTCTCTCTCTTCCACTGTCTCTGAAAAGCAATGGAAAAAATATCCTCAGGTGAGGATTAAAAAATAAATAAATAAAAGCTAACATATAGTGATATGGAAAGATCTTTAAGACTTGTTAGTGAAAAAATAAGTCAAAAAAATACTTAGAGCATGATCCTTTTGAATATGTGTGTGTGTGTGTGTGTTTCCAGAATACATATGCAACTACCTGGAGAAAATAAAGGATGGACAGCATACTCTGAGTAAGGATTATCTCTAGGGAATGGAAAAGAGTGGGAATTGGAAGAAACAACTTTCGAGTGTTGCTTTCTGATTCTGCACAATTTGAGTCTTTTAAAAGGAATTTGTACTTACATATTTTGTGTAATAAAAGGAAGCAATTGCTTTTATAAATGAAAATAACATAAAAATGCTTATCAGGTTAAGTAAAAAGCATTCTACAAACTGTGCACATAGTTAATATCCTCTGTCAGTCTCCCCCAACTCATTCATAGGTTCAGTCAGCAAATATTTTTGACCACTACCTTTGTAGCTTGCAGTCTGTTAGTGAAATGCAAATATGACTAGGAAAAAAAAGTTGAAGAAAATACCAAAATGTTAATTTTTTCCTTTGCCTGAAGGCACAATGTGTTTTTGTTTTTTTTAATATATAATTCCCTAACTGAAATTGGCAAAATGTAAAGAAAAGTTGCTAAAGTGCACCAGTAATATTGCATGCCACATATTTGACTCAGTTACTCAGAAGTGTAGTAATAAGACTAATAACAGGTGTTTATTTTGGGCAACAAAAAGACATTGGACCTATATTTTAATAAAGTAGTTTTAATCCCCCCCCCAAAAATATATATAATTCCCTAATCATTATAATTTCTGTAAGAGTAGTATTTTATAGGAAAGAGGTACCTTTTTATTATGGTAGGATGCATAAATAAAATTTTCCATCTTAATTGTTTTTAAATGTCCAGTTCATACATTCAAAATGTTGTGCAATGGTCACCAATATCCATTTCCATTTTTTTTTTTATCCCAAACAGAAACTTTGTACCCATTAAACAGTATCTCCACATTCCTTTCTCTCCCCAGCCCCTGGTAGCGCAGCAGTTTTGATATTCAACGGGTGTGCCGCAAGAGTTTTTAAGACATGCAATATTTAGTCAGGGGCACTGACCTTTTTTCCCTTAGACTGTCAAATAAAAAAATGACAACAGCCAACACAACAGCAGCCGTCCCATGTGACTGAATCAAAATTATACTTTTTTTTTTTTTTATCAGATTGGCAAAAAATATATTTTTTGGTGTGCTGAAGAATTTTAGTAATTAGTGTATGTGCCATGAGATGGAAAAGGTTGCAAATCAATGGTCTGTATGTCTGTCCTTAGTCTGTACCACATTGTTTTGATTACTGTAGCTTTCTAGTAAGTTTTGAAATCAGAAAATGTGAACCCTACAACTTTGTTCTTTTTTTTTTTTTTTTTAAGACTGTTTTGACTCCCTGGGAAAAACATTTCTTCTTTTTAATATTCATTGCTTGTAAGAGCTATGTAAAATTTCTAGCTTCTGAAAAGATTAATTCTTATAATAATTTTCTAGAAGTACTTTCTGCTGTTTACTGAAGTATATATTTTGCTCTTTATTATAGAAAGAGTTTCCCAGCCAAAATGAAGTTGTGAAGAGAATGCAGTCCCTCCAAATAGATTGTGTAGCAATACCTCCAAGCAGGTCCAATTCAGGTAACTTGTATTATGACTGAAAATCTGTTTATTAACTTATTTGGTTGCTCATTCATGCACTCTCTAAAATATTATTCACAACCATATGAGAAACAGAAGAAGCTATAAAATTTAATACCTGCCGCCCAGCCAGGCGTGGCTCAGCTGTTGAGCAACGACATAGGATCCAAGAGATTATGGTTCAATTCCCAGTCAGGGCACATGCCGGGTTGTGGGCTCAATCCCCAGTCAGGGTCGTGCAGGAGGCAGCCAATCAATGACGACTCTCTTATCATTGATATTTCTATTTCTATCTCTCTCTCCCTCTCCCTTCCTTTCTCTGAAATCAATAAAGCTATTTAAAAAAAAAAATTTAACACCTGCTGTAAGGGAATTTATAATATATTCGGGAGTCAAGATACATATATTTGGCCCTGGCCAGGTAGCGTTGTCCCAAATGCCAAGGTTTTGGGTTCAATGCCTGTTCAGGGCATATACAAGAATCAACCCATAAGTGCGTAAATGAGTGGAACAACAAATTGATGTTTCTCTCTTTCTGCCTGCCTCTCTCAAAAGTCAATCAATTTTTTTAAAAAAGATACATATATTTGAAATGTTAAGTAACATTGAGTTCACCAAAATCATAAACTAGCCTGAGCCCCAGCTGGTGTGGCTCAGTGGTCAGAGCATCAGCCCGTGGACTGAGGGTCCCGGGCTTGGTTCCGGCTGAGGGCATGTACCTCGGTTGCAGGCCTGATCCCTGGCCGCAGTCGGGGTGCGTGCAGGAGGCAGCCAGTTGATACATCTCTCTCACATAGATGTTTCTCTCTCTCTCTCCTTTCCACTCTCTCTGGAAAGGCAGTGGAAAAAGCATCCTCGAGTGAGAATAATAAATAAACTTCCTGAATAGGAGGCACCTAAAGTATCTGACAGGGAGAAAGTGATGGTTCAGGGAAAAGGGAGACGTATGTGGGAGCAAAGTCCTTGAGAAGGTCCGCAGTGACTGGCCCGGAGCACAGGCAGAGAGGCTGGTCTCAGACCTGGGCAGGGGTGCTTCTTCCTGCAGCGGAAGAGGAGGCGGGCTGCGGGGTTTTGGAGCCGTCTGTTTAGTGGCGGCCTGTCCTGCGGCCAGTCACTTAGCCTCTTAAACCTCTTCCTTGGAGTCCTGGTGATCACTGTTCCTCTCGCGGGGCTCTTAAAGAACGAAAGAATCGTGGACAGCGACCAGAACAGCTGTGGCTCTGATCTCCCAGCCCTGTGTCACACCGAGGAGACAGCCACCTTCTCTGCTGCAGCCCAAGCCCCTTTCTTCCGTGGTCACGCCTGCGACACCCCGTTTTCTGTTGCTAGTTAGAACTTCCCCGGTTCCCTCACTGCCAGGCTGGGGCTCCTGCTTTTCATGTACAAAAGGGGAGGGCTCCCTAGTAAATGCTTCCTGCTTGTTCTCAGTGTTCTCAGTATGTTACTGTGAGGTTCAGATTCACTATGAGGCTCGGGTTTCATTTTGCTGTTTAATGTTTCATGAAACTCTCCAATGTTGACCATTTCTTCTTAGCCACAGAACAGCCCAGTTCGCTGCACAGTTCCCAGGGCCTCAGGATCGGGCCTGTGGAGGAATCCTGGTTTGCTCCCTCCCCAGACCACCAGCAGGAGCAGAGCGAGCTCATCCTGCAGAATAAACTCCAGGAGGAAGCCAACTACCATCTTTTTGGCAGCCGCATGGACAGGCAAACAAAACAGCAACCCAGACAAAATATGGTTTACAACAGAGAGGAGGAGAGGAGACGAAGGGTCTCCCATGACCCTTTTGCACAACCGAGACCTCATGAGACTGTTCAGATCCCCGGGGTAAAAGGCCTTGCTGCTTCCAACGCAGCCAGTCCTAGGAACACAGTACACCAAGCCGTGGGACTGGCCAGCCAGCCCCAAGCACCCCCCTGGAATAATGGACCATATAATCCATATGACCTTAGAACAGGTTCATTGGGTGCGGGAACAGCAGGTCCCAGATTTTGGTATGGGCCAAATGCAAGCCATACGCCAGGCCTGCATAAAACTCCAGTGCCTGAGACCAACCTACTGGAAAACACACCCACCATTCCATTCATCTCCCGGACATCAAGAGGTAAGCAGGCCTTTTAGTCTAATCTTGTCTTTTTTTTTTTTTTTCGTTTTTTCAATTTTTCTGAAAATAAAACAGCCGTTAGCTCTGCTGTAGGCTATAAGGTAACAGAGGGCAAGTTATTCAGAGTCTTCAGCTGCCAGATGCAACTTGCGCCACGGCATGCTCTCCATCCGACCATGTGGCCGGGTGTTTCAGTGAGGGTAGGGTTCCGAGCAGCTGCCTGCATGCGTTGGTTTATAGGGTTTGTGGCTGGTAGGCATCTTCTACTCTAACCTGAATCACCGTGGTCCCACTATACCCAATCTCTGATGCAAGCGAAGGTATCTGCTTGTATTCTTTTACTTGCTTGCTGTTTTCTGAAGGTAAGAAATAAGTCTTGGATATTTTTATTTCCAATTTCATGTAGGTCAAAGGCTACCGTTTCTGATGAGAGCCACATTGTCCCTGTATCCATTTCCAGAACTCTTCATCTTCCCAGACTGAGACTGTCGTCGGACAGGAAGTCCCTGTCCTTTCTCCTCCCAGCCCCTGGCAGCCAGCCTGCTGCTTTCTGTGTCTGAGTTCAGTTCCTGTAGGTGCCTGCTATAACTGGGATCAGTCGTACGGGATTCATCCTTCACTGAGCACAGTGTCCTAAAGGTTCATCTGTGTTGTAGCCTGTGTCAGAATTTCCTTCCTTTTTAAGGCCAACTAATACTCCATTGTATGTATGCCCCACATGCGGTGTATCCATCTATGGATGGAACTCGAGTGGCTTCCACTTTTTGGCTATTATGAATAATGCTACATGGGGATATAAATACCTGTTTGAGGTCCTGCTTTCAGTTCTTTGGGGTATATACTCAGAAGTGGAATAGCTGGATCATGTGGTAATTCTATTTTTAATGTTTGGAGGAACCGCCACGTTGTTTCCCACAGCGGCTGCACCGTTTTGTATTCCCACTGTTAGCGCACAGGGCTCCAGTTTCTCCACATCCTTGTCAACACTTGTTTTCTGCTCTTTTATGGTCGTAGCCATCCTAATGGGTGTGAGGTGGTTCAGCCACATTTAAAAAAGAAAATTTTAGCCCGGCTGGGCGTGGCTCAGCAGTTGAGCGTCAACCTGGGATCCAGGCGATCGGGGTTCGATTCCCGGTCAGGGCACATGCCCGGGTTGCGGGCTCAACCAGTGACTCTCTCATCGTTGATGCTTCTATCTCTCTCCCTCCCTCTCCTTTCCTTTCTCTGAAATCAATAAAGATATATTTAAAAAAAAGAAAACTTTACAGGCCGGCATAGAATAAACAGTTTAACTTAAACATTTGGAGTAAAGCCCTGCCCCTTTGTGGTGTTGCAGTTTTCATCTTACTTTCAATTTAGATGCACTTACCTGTGTGCTTCTCTCTATTCAGGTGAGACTGCACAATATTCCATATACAACAGTGCTGGGGTTCAGATTGGAGACAGTAATCATATGGAGGTTGGTGGAATGAGTTTGCCATTTCCAGACTACACATACATGAACTGGAAAGAGCCAGCTTCTGCGTACCAAGATATCTTTGGTAAGATGCCCTTTAAGGGCCCATTGTCTAGCAACTTTGAGCTTTCTTTCTTGTTGAGAGGGATGTAGTGGAATCCTAAAATTTCTCTGATGATTCTCCCTGAAAGTTGTCACCTGTTTCCTCTGGAAAATATCTGTGTAATTTCCATATAATTTCTTTGTAATTTATTTCTGTTTAATATGGGGAAAATTACAGTATCTTAATTCATGGATTGTTGTGAAAATTAAGTGAGTCAGTATGTATAAAGAGCTTAGACCACTGCCTGGAACATAGTAAGATCTACAAAAGTGATAAATTATCATCATTGTTATCATTAATATTACTACCCAGCCCTAGGACAGAGAGCTCTTTCAGGTCCTCATCAAAAGGAATTGTGTAAACTATAGGAGACTGCGCTGAACATCACCTCTGTAATGAAAATGATGACTTTCTCTTATAGGTTCCACTATGTGAGCTAATAACATTAATCCCAAAACACTACCTGGGGAAAGCAGTCCTGAGGCCAGAACAATGTGATTTAAGAACCCAGCTTTCTGATTAACCCTAGTATTGGCAATTTTTGTCCTTAAGATCTAGTTAATAAACGTTTTAGGCTTCACTGGCCTTGAGGTCTCTGTTGCAAACTACTCAACTCACATTGTAGTGCAGTAGCAGCCACAGACAATATGTACACGGATGGCTGTGTTCCAGTAAAACCTTGTTTACAGAAACAGGCTGCTGCCAGCGTTGGTCCACAGGCCTTAGTCTGCCAATCCCTGGTCTAGCCCACTTGAAGGATAGTTTTTAAAATACCTAGAGCAAAGGTTCCTAAATTTGAGGGAGATAAGGGTATCTTTGAGAATCTGATGAAACCCAGGGTTCCCTCTCACAGAGGGGTATGACAGCATTTGTCAAATATCTTGGGAGGTTTGGGACTGCCGACGTCTAGTGGTGATGATAACAGCTGCACTATAGGGAGCTGAGGAAAGAATGGGAGTTCAGCCCGGCCAGCGTGGCTTAGTGGTTAAGCATTGACCTAGGATCCAGGAGATCCCAGTTCGATTCCCGGTCAGGGCACAAGCCCAGGTTGCAGGCTTGATCCCCAGTAGGGGGCGTGCAGGAGGCAGCCAATCAATGACTCTCTCATCATTGATGTTTCTCTCTCTCTTCCCCTCCCCCTCTCTCTCTGAAATCAATGAAAACATATGTAAAAAAGGGGGGGTTAAGGGGTAAACATTGGATGTCCTTTTCTGTATATTCAGCTTACTGAGCTAGAATGAGCGTCAAGGAGTAGGCTGGTTTGTGGTGGTGATTTTTTACTTCTGTTTCCTTTTATCATTTTTGTGAAGGCCTAAGGGGCAGGAACCAGTAGATGGAGAGAGGTTATGGCTCTAGGAGAGAGAGGACAGCAGTTGGGCAGGGGAGGGGTGAGTCCAGAAATAGACCTTGAAGGGTATCCGTGCCTCATTCCTTAAAAGATGGGAAGGCATTGCCGTTTAACAGGTAGGCTCACACTCGGTCTCAGTTCCCTTGGCTGAGTAAGAGGAAAGCAAACTGTTGGGCGAAGGGGATGAGGAGTTGAGTGGCCTTAACTCTGGCCGTAAGTGAAAAATGCCCCAAAGGAAAAAAAAATGGTGTTTTCCCTCTTTACATCAGGAAGGTCTAGTACAAGTAGGGCCGCTGGCTAAGGTTGTCTAAAACAGCTGAATAGGCAAGGGTTTTAATTCCAAAGCCCTCAGCTGTGGCTCAGAGATGCATTTGCTAGGAGGGAGTGTCCCCTATTCTAATTCACAGAAACTCCCCATGGGCTAGCAGACATGTAAAGTATCACCGAGTCGACAGCTATATAATTAAGAACTTCCCTTTCCGCTGCACTGCAGGTACTCCTCACTTCATGCAGGGTTTGAAGCTAGAATGTTCAAATGGGTTGCAGCTTGATGCCTTCTCCTGTCTTCTTTTTGGCAGATAATACCACTAGTTTGACTGATGAACACCTGGACCCAGTCAGAGAAAATCTGGGAAGGACCTGGAAAAGCTGTGCCCGTAAAATGGGCTTCACCGAATCTCAGATTGATGAAATTGACCATGACTATGAGCGAGATGGATTAAAAGAGAAAGTTTACCAGATGCTCCAGAAGTGGCTGATGAGGGAAGGCAGTAAGAGGGCCACAGTGGGAAAGCTGGCCCGTGCGCTGTACCAGTGCTCACGCATAGACCTGCTGAACTGTTTGGTGGCACATATCAGCCAGAACTAACTAGAAGGAGCTTCGGCAGCATGAAGTCATCTCACTTAGTGAGTGGTCCACTGAACTTGTGCTGCCTCAGACCATCCACAATTCTTTCCTCACTGATGTGGGTTCTGTGTCTACATAAAAATCATTTCCTGCATTCCATAGCTGGACAGTGGGAAAGAGGCTGTAGCAACCCACTAAACTGGAAGACCGATTAATGGCCTCCATAAGAAAAGAAGCCTGATTGGGTTTTGAAAGGGAGAAAACAGAGATTTGAGAGAGATTGTTTTCTTTCACTTTATCCCATAACCCCCAGTTATGCTGCTCATTCAGTTTCCTAGAATTTTGTTTGAGCAAGAGAAAAAAATTCAGAGAATGAACTAAGTCAACTTTCTTATTTTGTGCTCTTTCCTCTACATAGGCTCCTGTTATAACCAAAGCACAGAAAAATTCTAAGCTCTTCCAACAGGGTTTCTTGGTATCACAGCCACAGTTCATTTCAGAGTGACAGGATCTGCTAACTTCAGTGTCACATGCTGTGTCACTCACTACAGGCTTCAAGAACTGCATGGAACCTTCACTCCATAAATTAACTGAAGGGATTTTAAGGTGTACTAAGAAGGGAAAGAATAGAAAACAAAAACACCACAATTTCACAGACAGTTGTTGCAAGAAATTGCTACTAAATGTGACTACAAAAATTCTTAAGTTTTTAATTTTTTTCCTAGTAACCTGGCACTTTAGGCACTTTCCAAACCTGTGTGCCCTGAAGGGGGAGCAGGTGTGCAGGGGTCTTGTCTTCACCTTGGCTGTGACTGGAGCCTCTGGGCCGATCACTGTTGAACAGTTCCCCCTGGGAGGTGTAGAGACATTGTCATTTTTTCCTGTAAGCTAGAACATAGAAAGGACAGCTTCAGAGCCTGGTGGTTGTGGCTCTAGCTCTCAGCCCTTCAAAGCCCACGTGAAACTCAGGAATGAATGAAGAAACTAGAGGACGGAAGGCAGCCGGGCCATCTCACAGCACTGCCAGCACTTTGCTTAACAGAGAGGGTGTGCCTTTGTGCTTAGCCCCTGGAGGGAAGGAGAGGACGGTGCAGTGTGGTCAGTCCGGCTGTCAGGACAGATTCTAGTGTCTGGTGGGCTAATAACAGTATTAGTGGTTCTGATTGTAAATCTCCGTCCCCAGCACAAACGCACGTGGGTGCGCGCGCACACACAATCCAGCCCCAGCACACGCGTGTGCACCCCCCCCCCCCCC